CAGCAACGCGTCCACCAAGTTGGCAACCAAAGATTTAAGCGTTTTGATGCAGTTTAATCATTGGTAGGAGCCGAGGTTGAAAACAACATTTTCTTTTCTTTTAATGCGTAAGTGTTTTCAACCCAAACGGCCGGCTAATAAGGCCGCATCGCTCTTGGGTTCAAGGTTCGGTGGAAGGTAAGATCTGGTTGGTAAATCTGAAGTAACTTCACAAACAGAAAAAGTGTGAAAATGGGCACAGACAAACTTGGCGACCAAGGGGAATGATGCAAATCCAAACAGACAAACAGACATAGCAGCTGGTAAGTAGACACTCAGACAGACAGGTTCACATTAGGGATAAACGAGCGGGTTACGTAAGCACGAGCTTATCAAGACTCTGCTGTGTACGTGGATTTGATCTGTTACTGTGCACAAGTTCCTACTGCGAATTCAAAGTAAAGCGTTATTCAAACCAAGCAACAAAAGAAGACCTGATTTTTTTTGGGGGGGGGGGTTGAGGGGGGTTTCAATCCAGTGACCGAGGATGTATGTTTCGCATTAACGTTGCCTGAGTGAGCTGAAGAGAGACGTCTTGTTCCAGTTTCCTGTGTTTCCTGTGTGAATTTCACAGATCCCTGTGTGGAACTGGGATTAGCGTCAATGATTTCGCACACAGGAACATTATCCCCCGTCGCCTCCCGCTCTCTGTTACGTGCAAAACTTCCGCCAACAAAGCGACACAATCAGTGACATCATTTCGTTTTTTGTTTTTTTTCACGAATTCTCCACGATGCGTTTCTCCTCAGTAAGTTAAGAGATCAAGAAGAAGGAGGATGGACTGCGGGTGAAGAAGAAGAAGAAGAAGGGGCGGCGGATCGAGGGGCCACGCGAGTCTGACTCACAGGGATTGTGGGTGCGGAGGTTTCATTGCTCTCTTGTGTTTGGTCGTTTCTGGGTAGTGTGTTTTCTACTCCTCTACCACACACACACACACACACACACACACAAAATGACCTACACACACGCAGGCTCTGGGGACGTCTCCTGAGGCAGGTGCCGAGACACGGGCTGAGAAAGGCATCCGTTCGCACGCCGCTGAATTATTCAACCTGTGATTAATTACAATTTGGCCTCACAAAGGCAGGGGGCTGGGGGGTTGGGGGGGAATTCCTCCGCTGGACTGCAACTTATTGTGCTTTTCCTTCCTGTGCTGGCCGCCGTCGGGGGCGGAGCGGAGCATGGACCTAAACGGCGGTGCTGGATGCCTGCACGTCTGCAAGTGGACCCTCACCGCCGAACTCTTTAATGGGGGAGGGCTGCTCTCTGCAGCCCTGCAACGGGGGGCAACCAGAGTTTAACACACGAGTCGGCGTAGAGAAATGTGGGCTTAGTGGGTTCTGGCTTGGCAATGACCACGTCGCTTTTCTGGGGGAGAGAAAGACCACACGAAGGAGAAAATGACAGAGGGAGGCAACAACCAACGGAGCCCGCTCACCTCCGGGTGCCCCCCCTGAAATAGTTACAGTGTGTGTTGCTAAATGAATGTAATCACAGGTTTATTTTATACATCTCACCTTAATTCCTTTGGATGAGGTGAGGCGTGACCCGCGTTGCACACTCAGTTGATTTTAGCGTCACGTTGAGCGTTTTGAAGTACACCCTCCGGATACACTTCATGTTACTGTACGTGTCAGTGGGAACGCACTTCTGCACTCCGAAATAGCAAGTGAACCGAGTACCGAAGAACGCAAATTGAGACGCAGCGGCCTTTTTCAAGGTAGAAAATATGCCAGAAACACACAGAAAGTGCCTTCAAAGGATTAGTGATGCGATCAAATAATAACCTTTTCAAAATATGTGATCGTCATTACATTATATCATAATGAAGAGGGGAATTTAGAGGAAAAACAAATAGGTTTAAGTAAAATAAATGGGGACGTTTTACACATCAAATTTGGTATGAGAAGAAACCCTGATGATGTCATTGGGGTCATCTCGACTCAGCCTTGAGGCTTAATTATTTTAACAGACGCCCTCGATTCCAAACTGGAGCTGTTGCGATTGAAAGAGCACGGCTGTAGGTTTTTGGAACTTGATCCATACATTGGAGTAAATTATATCCCCGTAGTTTTCAATTTCATCATTCTTTCAGATCAGTGTCCTGTGAGCTCCCCGTCTTTGATAACAGCGCATAACAAAAGTGTTGGAGTACCCCTTTAATCACAAAAATATGAAACACTGAATAATTGATTGCGTTATTATTAACCACCTCAAGCCTCTCCCATTCTTCAGCTGTGATCTCTGTGAGCAGTAAACTAGCCTGATGAGAAGCCGTGCTATTGGATATTAAAAGTTAAAGATCACGAGCACGTCCGGCCTTTAGGCCCGGTTGAGCAACGCCACGGACTTGTCTCACTTTAAGGATCTCGTAGCTAATCGTAGACCCTGTGGGTGATGTGGAGCAACCAGTGTGCCACCTCTCGTACAGCTGCTTTGTAATTGGAGTCGGAGGCGTGAGAGTGCCGGTGAAAGTGGGTTGCCCTCGGGGTCGCCGGGGTGTCAAGAGTTGGAATGAATAATAATAAGCAAATCCTCTTTTAGCTAACAATCAGCTAAAGATCTCATCAGGATGTGGCCCTGTGAGAGAGACGTGAGACGTGGAGTAGAAGCTGGGCTCTGACTGCGGGGCGAACGCTCTCTTGGCAGAACAGTGAGTCTATGACTTGGCTCTGGAGACGCCTGCTTAGGCCTCTCTCTCTCTCTTGTTAACCAAGAACGCCCTTGCTTCTGGATCCGCATCAAAACCCTTCATATTTTATGTTTTTTATTAATTTTAATATGAAAAGTTCATGTCCTTTGCTGCTCACAAAAGCAGGCTGAGTGAAATAAACCTCGGGGGAGTTTTTTGCGGTTGGTTGTGCTCTGACCAGACAACCAGCATGATTATCTGTCAGCTTGAGTCAAATTATTGTGGGAAAAAAAGGTGCATAAACGTTGTCCGCAGTCAGTGAATATGATCAGGCAAACACCCACTGAGATAAACAAAAATCAATGAAGGTTTCAGAGGCCCAATGCTCACACCATTTTGTTAACACTTGCACCAGCGATGCATATTGTAAACATTTTTTGAGCTATTCCGAATAACACGGGTCAACATTTGGTGATCGTTTCACTTTTTTTACTGGGTCTATTGACTTGTGCGGATGACCGGCATCAAGATCAGGGTCTGAGTCAAGTGTGTAAAATGCGTCGCTGGATGCAGAGGAATAACAGACCCGGGATGCCACGGGTCACCGGGTTTGTCGAAAATGGGTCCAAAATAGCTCGTCCCTGTGGTGGGAAATGTGTGGTGATCCTGGTGTGAATTGGTCACCATCACACTGACTCCGGTGGAATGTCTATCTGCCGGTCGATGCACGCACATTTAGAACAGAGATTAAACCGCTGCACACAACTGGTTTAGATGTATTGCTGCTGCAGACGTGGGTGTTCCCTAATTGCATTATCGCCATAGTTTTTGGGGGATCAGTCTGGGGACGAGAATACAGTGGTACACACAAACATTCTGCACAGGGTTGTAGGTTTGTAGCTGGCCACAGATAACATCTGTTGAACTGACATTAAAAACCCAATGCTGAACGTTAATTTTCGATAATTCTGCAAAACCCGTCAGATTAAAACCAAACTAGCCAAAATACAAAACAAGTATTTTAACACTATCTTTATTTCTTCATTCCGACGTTTAATCGTGTTAAAGTTAAACTGCCTTTGTTGGAGTATTTCATCATTGGAATTAGGATATTCCTTTCTTCTTTTTGTTCTGTTGTCAGGCAGTTGAACTGTGCAATTTTAAAAGATTGGACTGGAAGTGAGTTGGTAATAATCCTTGAACCACCCTATCCTCATTATTCCTTTCAACTAGATATTCTTCAGACACCAGCTGAGGATTTCTTGAGGCCATAGGCTGCTCTAATGCCGAAAACATACCAGGCAAACTGCAGCTCGCAGAGCTTATTACATTTCTTTCTACGGCCAGGAGGTATGCGTGTGCATTTCAGGCAGGTAGAAATTCCTCGTTACGCAGGTCAATCTGTGACAGGAGACGCAGGACTCTACTTCCTGATTGGCTGTCCTCTCTCCACCACGGCTGCTCATTTTGTTTAATTTAAATAGTCTCACCAGGTTTTTAGTTACGCTTGGTCTTCATCTGCATAAACCAACCTCCTTTAACAAATGTGACTCCTTCCTTTTAATTCTATAAATGAATATTTACTTAATCTTTATTTTATCTGCAACTGTGCATAAACACTGCGTTAAAATAGTTGCGCAGCTTTTGAATACTGATTCTGAATTTGATGTCAATGTTGTGAATAAAGCAATTGGACTATATGGTACAGCGCCAACATTTAAAAAAAAGATATTTGACTTCATACAATCTTTTAAGCTCATGAGGTGCAGCACTTTTTGTGGGGTCATTTCCAAACAACTGACTACTTGAAAACCAGTACAGCAAATAACGCGTCCCCCAATCATCTGTGCAAAACATTTCAATAAATGACCGTAGCGTCCTCATTGGTGAGTCAAAGTCAAAAATCTAATTGGACTCCTGGAATGTCTTTTTTTGGTGGGGGGGGGGGGGGGGGGGGAAAAGGGGGGGAATAGAATATTTCCCGCCACCCAAAAAAAAAAGAACCGTGCTTTGTTGGGTTCCCGGAATGGCTTTTCCCCCTCTTCTTCTTATGTTTCTGGAGGAAGTAAAAAAAGAGGGGGGGTTTTCCTTTTAGGGGACCCCACCGTTTTGCACGCCGTAGGGGTAGCGACCAGTCTGCGCGACAACGGAGGGGGAGCAAAAAAAAATACCATCACTTTGTCTTGCACTCCCCCCACATATAAAATCGGCGCGAATTGTCGGCCATGTTGGAGATCGTCACACAAGATAAACTTGACCGCACCGACATCGCGCAGAGTCACTACATAGACATTATGTGGGAGTGAAGAAGAACTGTGGGGATGGGGGGGAGGAAAAACACTAAAGGGGTAGCTATGGAGATGGAGCGTTTTCCTGGCTGCTTTCTTTGACAGGTGTTGAGTGGGGCAAAAGTCTTAAAACAGAATCCAGCATGTACGCCAAAGGTAAAGGAGCTGTCGTCCCTTCCGATAGCCAAGCGAGAGAAAAGTAAGTGAATTACGCGCTACACACCTAAGGACTTTTACCTGCTTATCTCCGGGGCGAGGGGACGGGGGGCTGCTGCCGCCGGTGGGGGGGTATGGAGAGGGGGGGTGGGGGGGACGACACACCGGAGGGGAGTCCAACTTTCTTAACTAGGTAGTTGTAATTTAAAAAGCGGCGTACTGTAGCAAAGTGCGCGCTCTCCTCTCCTCGCGCTCTCCCTATCAGGCGCGTCTACCAAACTATAAGTTGTCCTCCCCGGTTTGCACGGCAGGGGTTCTGTTGCGTTTTGTCCGTTTGCACGGGGTATCCTCCTTAATGTTGTCCGGTGGTTGCGGGGCGCGCACGCTTCTTCGGCCCCCCTCCCCTCCACCATCTTGTAACGCGTTGCTACATTTCGGTCTGCAACAATGTATTTAAAATGTTACAAACAGGCTCCTGCAGCGCGAGACCGGAGATGAAGCGCGGGTTTTTTTTTTAAAGGAAAGAAAATGTCGTTTCTTGTAGGACAAGGCGTCTGTTGGGGGGCGGGTGGGGGGGTTCTGGTCTGGACGACGGGCTCGTCCCCTCGTAAACTTTCCGAGGAATGAAAGAGGGCTGTTTCGCTGCGTGAAGCCGACCGGGAGATGGATGGGCGGCTGGCGGGACTGGGGGGTGGGGAGGGGGGGTCTGGTGATGGTGGCGGAGGGTCCCATTCTGCAGCCAGGTAGCGGTGGTGAAACTTTTTTAGCCTCAGCTCAGGCGAAAGGGGAGACCTTCATCTCAAAAACTTCTATCACAGAACCGAGTGCCGCGTGTCATCCTGCACGCGCGTGGACGTTATTGAAGAATAAAACGAGAGATTTTATTTTTTTTTTAAACCGTGAAATTCCATCTCGTTGCTTGGCAGATGATGTGTTCACTGCCTTATTTGGTTTTCAAAGCACATGAATAAAAGAGAAGAAAAAAAAAAGACCGATGTAACTTTTGAGTGCCTCGCGCACTGAAGCTCCTGCCTCCTTATCTCGCTGCCTATAGAATATTCCTGCATGTGTTCAAAAGATCTGGATCTCCTCCGCATCCCCGGGGCTTCAGATCGCTGTAGCCTTCATCGCCGCTTGGTATTTCTAAGAAATTGCCAGTGTGAGGTGAGAGGAGCGAGCAGGCGTCCCCGCTGAGAGGCAACTGTAATCCAGAGACCACTGTCAGGTCCCGAGAGGCCGCGCACATCCACACCTCCTCCACCTGGAATACAAACTACATTTCCTCAGAGACGCCCTTGTTCTCTTTTTTCCCCCTTTCCTCGCATTGCCGTGTCACATTCAATTGATTGAGCTTTCTGAGAGATGTGGCCCTCGCTCATGTGCTTAGTGTAAGCTTCCTCGAAAGCGACTTTGCACACTTTCCGGTGCCCCCCAGCGCTTCATTTCGCGTGTGAATATTGGATAAGTGTAGCCGCTCTGTGCGTGTGTGTGTTTGCGTGTGCAGAGTGAATCCTAAATGAAAACGGTCCCATGTGGTTGAGTGAACAGCAGGCAGAGTGACCTTTGAACCAATATGATGCTTTAATATTGCATTTGAACCATCAGCAGACGTCGGGCAGCTCCTACACCTGTTTGTCTAGCGCGGCTTCCTTATGTGCCCTTTTTTTTTTTTTTATAACTCTGCAGTGGATGGGTTTAAATGGTGTGTTAGCTTTTAGTTGCTTGTTCAGGGAGTGTGGATTATGTTCCGTGTGTTATTGGGAGTGAAATCAGTGCAGAGGCAGCATGTATTTGCAATGAAAGTGTAGGAGGAGGATTAAGAAAGTGTTCCGGCAGCCGGGACGAATGTGCCGGCTTCGAGGCTGCTTGTGAATAACACAACTCTTGTTGTTTGTTTGCGTTTGTTCCACATTAGATCTCCTATGCTTTGCACCCATGTGTTGAGCTTGTGCGAGGGGGGAGAGGGGAAGGGAGGAGGGGGGAGCTAAAGGTGTAGGTATCGTCCGCACATAATAGACGAGGCCTGACCTCTCCCCTCACCTGTCGTGTCGCCCTAACCCGCCCCGCAGGGCCGACACATGTTTCCTTGTAAATGTGGAGCGCACAACAGCTGCCTCAATGCATCACTGAATTAGCTCATATTCATATTTACATATTCATATGGCTCTTTACATATTCAAAAAAAAAAAAAAAGGCCGCCCCGGCTGGACCGGGATGACACAAATATCACAGCTGTGATCTTGCAAAGAGAATTGATTATCACGTCATACATTTTATTAAATGTACCACAGATTGATAATATATTGTCTGTCTTGACTACGCAAAGTTTAGTGTGCATCCGCTTGTCTGTTTGCTACAAATTAAAATGGTTCTCCCTATGTTCCATGGGGTCTTTTATTTAAACATGATTCTCTGTTTAAAACTGAGTATTGCAGTTGGATTAAATTGAGGGCAGGTAGACGTGGATAGGAATGTCATTTGAGTCCCTATCAGACAACACAAAGGTGTGCGCAGGGCACGTGAGTAAGTTGCACAGGGCGATTTTGTGTCATTTCCTCTCTGACTTCTCTTTAAACTCCGTCGCACACTTTGGAGACGCCGTTTGGTTTCGGTTAGCAACCTGGTGTCGTTCAGAGCGACGGCCAACTGCTGCAGCTTTTCAGGGAGTAATCTGAGAGTTTCACAACAGCCAAAAGAAACGTGTTCTTGGTTAAAGTTTAAAGCGGTCCGAAGGCCCTGTTCATTAGAACAAGCGAAAGTTCCGCTGTAGTCCAGCGTCCACCTCCCGTGTTCATGGCGCTGAACTCATCAGGAGTCCGCAGCAGCTTAAAGAAAATGTTACAACATCCGTTGTGTGTTTGTGGAACTGCATGGAGTTGTGTGTGTGTGTTGCGGTTTTTATTCAAAGCCTTGAACACTGAGACGCAAAACTTATTCAGAAATGCAACATAAAACGTTTGCATGTACGTTGGACAAACGATGCGGATTCCTGCACATGGCCAAGGCCTCGGCACACAACCGCCGCCTGGTTTCACTGTCTGAAGTTCGCAGGCAGGCGGCCCGGGCGGGAGTGAAGTGTTTTCTGTGCACATCCTTGAGAAACATTAATGCGATCGGACTTTTTGTGAAAAGAAAACATTGATAACAACAATGATATTAGATATAAAAGAACAGGAAGAGCTGGCGCCCTTGCGACCGAAAGAAATTAATTACTCTCCGCACTTTATTTTCCCCAGCGTTTTATTGAATTTAATTTGAAGAGGGGTACAGCAGCTTCACTATTGATGTTCCCTTATTATTTAGTAACTGGAGCCTCTTTGAAACATGCGCTGATGAATCCAGCTTTCTAATTAAAGGTGCCATTCACAAAAATATGTAATAGCTGGAGCAAACATCTCATTTTTTAAAAGCACGTTCTTAATTTTCCAAAAGAAATCTGCTCCCCGCGTTTGTTTTCTAATCTCCCGTGTTTGTTTACAGAGAGTTTCGTGCGACTTCGAGTGTTGATGGGTTTGTTTGCGAAAGGAACTTCAAGTTAATCAGTTTGTTTTGAACTGGGGATTCTTTACATCCTGCTTTGGCTCCTCCCACGTATTTACATGCAGTCTAATTGGGATCTTCATGTCTGAATGCACGGTTTTGATTCTACACAGATGGCTCTGCCGTCTGCATTTCACCCCTTTTTGAAGACGGCATAAAGAGCCACGAGCTGTCACAGGCAGAAACATTCAGCTAAAAGTAAAGAACCCCTTGATTCGCCCTCGGCGCCCTTTGGCTGACTGCCTTCATTCACACGCGTCAACAGTCAATTAATGCCGCCTTTCGTCAGCCGCTTTGGCTGCATCCGCACAAATCGGATAGCTTGCTCACGTGAAATAAAGGAGACAGTATAAATATTGAGGCTGCGTCGCCTGAAGTTGTTAATGTGACGGAGCGCGCAGGACGAGTAAGGAAGACAACAGGTACTCGAGGAAGACTTGAAACCATTTAGTCTGGACTGTTGAGGTCAAACCTGCATCACATTCCCGTCCTCGTCGACCAGGAGGAGGTGACGACGAAACCCGCCGGCTGTGTCAAAACGATGGATCCGCGTCCTCTGCCTCCCTCGGGTGTAAAGTGCCGAGCAGCGAGTTTATCAGTCAGTGACGCTCGGAGGTCAGAGGAGTTCCTCCGGCGAGCTCGCAGCCGCCACAGGACTAAATGTTTGAGCGTGGCGGTGGATTAACCACGCGGCTGAAGCCCGGCGTGTTCACACGCGTGCAGATTCTGGTGCCTTTTGACAAAGGAACCGGCGACACAAAGCGTGCAACGTCCTCGCGGTATCACAGGTGTCTCTCTCGTGAAATATTCATAAATATTTAAAATGTAGGGGAAATACATTTTGCGTCTTTTTTTTTTTTTTAATCAGCTCTGTTTTGTGCTACATTCAGTTTCCCTTCTGAAGCCCATAAATAATTCAAGCCATCCATGTTTTATTCCTTTTGTCAGAGATTGTACGTGAAAGCACAACCGGCGGCGGGCCTTCGTGGCTCCCTCTTCCCCTCACCCTGTCCGGCTGTTCAATAATGAACGACGACATGAAAGTTCATTGCTATCCGTCAGCGCTTCGCAGCTAATCTATGCCGAGATGCCCTTGTCTCTGTAGAGAGCGAAGGAGGGGGGGGGGGGGGGCTGGATGGGGGCTGGATGGGGGCAGCCCGGGGCTAAATGTCAGGTGTGTTTCCTGGGGACGAGGCAGTGGGAGAGATATCCTTGATGTGTGGACACGGAGGAAATCCGTGGTTATACCGCACAAGGTTAGGGCCGGCAGGGAGGAGAAGGTTGCTGAAGGTGCAGCAGATTCCCCCAAAAACAGTTTTTTCCTGTTAATTTCTCCATTGATGTAAATTGTAAATTATATTGGCAGCTTTACATCTTGGGCCTTAACAGGCTTCTTCTCATCATTTAAAGCCACATACGTTATTGCTACCTTTCCTCTGCCGACGAGTGAAATGCGCTGCAGAGGAGTCGGGGGAGGGTGGGGGAGTTGTCTTTTAAGCGGCTCATCTTTTATTCCTGTGTGACACGAGTGCGTAGTTGTGCAGTGCAGGAATTCAGGTTTACAGTATCCAAGACCGAGGTGAGGCCCCCGACCTTCAGCTTCCCTCTGACACAGCTCCCCTGTACAGTACAACTACCCCCCATCCTCCCCTCCATCTGCCCCCCACCCTCCCAGAACCACCTTTATCTACTTGGCCTTTCGGGCTTTCCTCCGTCAGCTCGCCGAAAAATTCTCCTCCTTCACCGAGTTACACTTACCGCCTCTGACAGAGGAACAAAAGGCGTCCTCTGGAGCCTGGTTTGATGAGTGTTTTTAAATAATTCACTGCAGCCGGGGCAGGTGCCCATCGTTGGGACACGGAGCCCCCGAGATCTCACCGGGGTCCGCCATGACAGATGCCAGCGCGCAGCCGCAATGCTCATGGGAATGAGGACCTGGTGTTTTATACTGTTCACCAACCTAACTTTTTCATAATACGTCATTTGTTGAATGGATTCACATTAGTAGACAACACGTTACAATTAACAGACAGACTTGTTACACAACGCTGATCAGTTTCACTCAACGATACCAGTCAGTTCATCCGAGATCGATATTAAACATTTACAGCAAGCAGTTTGCTCCTCGCCGACTTCTTACAACCCTTTTTCTGCACACCGGAGCTTTTAAGCAGCAAAGAAACAGTGATGTAGTTTTTTTTTTTTTTGGTGTGTTCACACTGAACACATGTGAAATGTTGCATGAGGAACAAACCAGGCGATAGCATCTAGTTTCTAATGCTAGTTGAAACTGGTTGGGACCGGCCGTGGCGGATCGCGGTGAAGCTCGCTTATACCTCCTTTTTTTTTTTTTTTTTCTTCTTTCGATGGAGATAATGAATCAGGTTGCTCGACTCGGGCTCATTATCGATTCTTTCAGTATCAACTCAAGCATCGTACCTCGGTGTGTCTGCTCCGGCCTTGATCGCCCTCCGTGCACACGAGCACAGCGCCCCTCCCCCCTGACCCCCCCCCACCCCCCATCCTCCCGCCTTCACGCTTGCATACAGATGATCGCTGGCTGTTGCGTTTGTCCAGACTGGTCCGACTGGACGTGGCCGTGGCGATCGGGCCGCGCCGCTCCGTGGTCTCGTTCTGGCAGACACGGAAGAACAAGAGGGCGCTTATTACGTCGCTCTTCGGTGGAAGGTTTGAGTCGCCATGGTGCCTTCTTGTCTCACACGGGGTGTCAGCAGAGTTAACAAGGCAAGGACGGTGACAGGTGACAAGGATGAGTCAGCTGCTGAGCGAGAGAGAAATACTATCTGCCCCCCCCCAAAAAAAAATCCCCCTCTGTTTTTCCACTCTGGTCGATCGGGACAACTTTTTGCATCTTCAGTTAAAAGATGCCTTTGTCCCACATTTGGGAAATACACATATTTGCTTTCTTTCTGACGATGAGAAGACTTATACGTAACGTATTCAGCGAGAACAGCGCTGGCTTAGCTTAGCATGACGTCTCAACGCGGGGGGGAAATGGCCACCGTGGCAGTGTCTGAAGATAACAAACTGTCCTCGTAATCTCTCTAAGTATTAAAATGCGCTTGTTTTTAAGTCCTTTTTAGAACGGACTCTGCTTTTTACGTGTCGGACCGTTTCGTAGCCGGGAGCAGTGATTTCATGGAGTCTGCTCGTCTTGTTGCCAGGCAACCAGACTTTTACCTACTATGTTAAAACATGACATTAACTCTTAACAAATCACACAGAAAATGTCAAAACTGGCACGACTTGTCATAAAATAGTCAATTGAAAATAAAAATTGTACGCCCAGCGGAAAATGGTTGTTTTGTCTTTTCTCCGCGTGATTTAAGTGTTCAAGTGACCAAAAGACTGCAGGCGACGCTTTTCTACCATTCAACGACCGCTTTCAACATCAATACAAGCTGTGCCGTCTTTTGCCTTTTCGAGCAGAAGGCGGCAATTTTCAAAGCTTTGACATAGACTTATTTTTTGTATTAACAGTAAATCAAAAGCTGCCTGGTAGAACCGAACCCACTGGCAGTCGACACCAAGCGCTCCTTCAGCCCTTTGCTAGCAAGACGTTGGTGTTTTATGAAGTTATTCACACAAGGTGGTCCGGTATGCTCCCATCTCAGCCTACTTGTGCAGAGCAGCCAGGTTCTTGTTCTTGCACGTAAGAACACACAAGTAAATCTCGTCAGCATATGAGATTTAACTCCAGTTAAATGCTCAAACGTTCTGCTGCTCTATGTTTGTACTGAGGAGTGTAAAAGATGTGATGGACGCTGACACCTGTCTCTCTCTCTCTCTCTCTGTTTCCAGGTTAGCTTTATACGTGTACGAGTATTTGCTGCATGTCGGCGCACAGAAATCAGCACAGACCTTCCTGTCAGAGGTAAGACGTTCTTTCAGTTTGACTTCCTGTTTCTAAAGTGGTCTAAAGTGGTTCCCCCTCCATTGAACCACCGGGAACGGAATTCACAACAAATGTTCAAGCGGCGACCTCGCTCCCATTCGGTCCGTGGACCCGGGAAAAACTCCACGTGCCAGGACTCTTTTTAAAAAAATGTGTTCTTTGATTTACAGCTACTAAATATAATTACCCACCCTTCATTTAGAGCAGTTTTAACATATAGTGAGTTGTCATAACATTTGACAAGCGCTGTCAGTTCCTGCCAAGTCAAATCAAGCTCAGTTTTTAATATTTAAAACACGACCACGCGTCCCAGGTCGGCTCCTCTTCTTCCCTGAGCGGTCAGAGAGGGAACGTCTCTAATGTGTTGCCTCCTCTTCCATAATGGACGTCCTTCCTGCTAATGGTCCCGTGTACCCCGACACCGACAGGGCTTTTTAAAAGGCGGGTCCGCGTCGTTCAGCTTTAATACTGACAGTGTTTTGTCAGGTGGCCTCGTGTTCGTCCGCATGACGCCACGCTGCACACCCAGACGAGTGAGCAACAGGCTTTAGCTTAGCTTAGCATAGGGAACTCGTATAAAGAGATAACTGGTTACTCCCTGGAGCTTTGTACTTACCGTGAAGTGGGCAGGTAACCAGTGCCGGCCCGTTTTAAACGCTCCGCATGCTGAGCGTAGCGTAGCATTACTGCCTGTAGCTTCATATTTATAGTACAGACACCAGAAAGTACATTTTTTGGATTGGTCTTTCGGCGAGAAAGTGAATAAGAGTGTTTCCTAAAGTGTCTTAAGTATTTATATAATAGGCTTCCCCTTTTATAGTTGATGGAGCTTTTGCTAGGTTTGCCTGTGACTGCTTCCAACCACAGCCGTTTATTTCATGCTTTACTTTTGGCATTGGCAACAAAATGAGCTGTGAAAGACCGGACGCTCAATATGATAAAAGTCCTACAGTAAATATGTATTTGGACTCCACTGACAGTAATGGGTGGATCTCGACCTTTCACCTTTTCCCTCTTCGGGGCAGCAGTAAAATGTTCCCTCACGAGTGTTTGAAGAAATGCACACACGTGATCTGTTACAGTCCTTTGCATGTCAGTTACCGTGTTTGCACTCGGTCAACGTCCTCCTGGTGTTTCTTAAAGCACACAAAACCTGATCGCCGTCACCTGGCCTTGATTCTTTTTCCTTGTCTTTTTTTGTTGATCATCTGCCTCTTTTCTTCACTTTTAACCTCCATTTAAATCTCCTTGCTGTATTCTGCTGCTCGCTTCTCCAGACAGAGAGAAAGCAAATGGAGAACAAAATCACATTACAAATAAATTGCTCTAAATAAAAAAAACATGGCAAATTTGGAGGGATACTCCAACATTAGGAGCATAAATGCACCGCCGATAAATTACATTTAATCTTAATAAATCACATTTAATCTTAATAAATTACATTTAATCTTAATAAATCAAATAATTTTGTCTCATTATCATATCAAAAGATAGTAAAACTATAGATTATTCCTTTAACCCCCGAGGCCTTTACAATAGCTTTTTTAAAGTCTAATATCTATTTGTCTAAAACCAAAAGAGATGGAGTTTCTTAAATTACATTTACGAAGCTGAAACGTAAAATATTTGCAAAATTACAGATATCAAAATAGTAGCCTAAAATATACACTTTGTCTGGGCTGGTAACTTAACTCCTTTGTTTTGTACAATCTGCAGTGTCACGTCTGTATTTCTGCTGCAAAAGTTTCGTCATATTAAGGGATATGTTTCTCTTTTTTTCACTTAACCCAGTGTATGTGTTGTTCAAGGTGTTTTTTTTGCATGCATCGACCCCAGCACCTTTTGTACCGCGCATTCTCTTTCCCACACACACACTCCCAAAGAAAAAAGGGAAACAGATGTTTCAATAAATGGCAGACTTGCAGGTAAACTGGAGGACCACACACACACACACACACACCTGCTCATCTAATAAGATCACCTGGACTGCCTCAATTAGCCTCGGTTCCTCTTCAGTGAGGAGCACGCACAAACGCGCACAACCTAATATTCATAGTATACACACAATACACTTCTGTCCCCGGGAGGACTTTGCCACTCTACGCTCTTTGGCACAGTGCAGCACTCAGCTCTTTAGCGGCATTAAATCAACAAGCCCGACCCACCCACTCTACATCCCCCATAAACCACAGCGGGGAAATCTATAGAGCGAACCCTTCAATGGAAACCTGAAGCCGGGGTCTGATGTACGGCAAACAAAGAAAAGGCCTGCTGCTGTCATGCTGTCCACACGCACTCCGGTGAATCATACCTGTCTATGACTGCGTGTGTGTGTGCATGTGGAGTCAGGTCAGTAGGACTGTGTGTGTGTGTGTGTCTATGACTGCGTGTGTGTGTGTATGCGTGTGGAGTCAGGTCAGTAGGACTGCGTGTGTGTATGCGTGTGGGAGTCAGGTCAGTAAGACTGCGTGTGTGTGTGCATGTGGAGTCAGTTCAGTAGGACTGTTTGTGTGTGTGTCTATGACTGCGTGTGTGTGTGCATGTGGAGACGAGTCAGTAGGAACTGTTTGTTTGTGTGTCTATGACTGCGTGTGTGTGTGTGCATGTGGAGTCAGGTCAGTAGGACTGTGTGTGTGTGAAGCAGGCGGCGGGGTCCGCTATCTCTCACTGGATCTTATCTCGGTGTCCAGATGCAGGAGCTCCGCTGGTCCGTGAGGGCACCGGAGAGGGCCGCCGCTTTATAGGCAGCCACGAGTTTACTTATCCGGAAGCTCGGCGCCGCCCGTCGGCCCGTTCGCTTCCCAGTATCGCTTTGTCCGTCCAAAGGACGGCTGAGCAAAATGATTACGATATGCATAAAACATGCGGCGACGTCTAATTTTTCATTTCCCTCCTCTGTCTTCCCCCGTTCGCTCTCTCTCTCTCTCTCTCTCTCTCTCTCTCTCTCTCTTCCTCTCAGATCCGATGGGAGAAGAACATCACACTTGGGGAACCTCCAGGATTTTTACACTCATGGTGGTGGTATGTACATGTGATCCTTTTCTCTCTTCCTCGCCCCTGACCACACACACACACACACACACACACGTGCACGTTATTTCAACAGCTTTAGTTGGGAACGGCAGAAGGATTCTTGAAGGTCTGAAAGAATGTGCATGGGTGGAGAGGGACAGTAATTGCAGGGAATGCTAAGTACATCATCTCACACACATTTTAAGTGCGGTTATTTTGGCTCTGATTGACAAGTGAGGTAACTTACCTTGCTTCTGATTTCTCTTTTAAACCTCACGTCGGTGCTTTCTGTCCAATCAGAAACAGATCCTCTGTCACCGGGGTCCTGACACGGTGAACCTCTCAGACAAAATCCAGAATTATGTCCTCAATGACGGGCTGTGGCCTGTAATTTGAGTCCCAATAAGCCTATACTTGTTTACGTTGTTAGTGTTGACAGCATTAAAAGTGTCCCTAATTATCTATTAGTACAACTTGTTTTTCAATGGATGCACCAACAACTATCACCGGATTACTTCAATGATGAATGGAAAAAAGAAACAGTCAGACTATTTATTTTTTTTCCATGCAAATTGGAAAGTGGACTTTTGGGAAAGCAAATGTCACACCGAATCAACAAATGAACGTGTGATGTCTGTGGGGTCTGTTTCCTCGAGTCATGACTCGAGACGGGATTGCCATCTTTGGCACGTTCAACTTCCTGCTTTCGTGGCTTTTGAACCTCACTCTCCCTTCAGCAGAACGAGGCTATGACCTGGGCTCTTCCACTTTTCTTTCTGCGTGTTTAAACAAACCCACACAGTCGCATCTCCTAATGTCGGCTGGAAAGAAGACCGTGTTTCTCCATTCGGCTGGAAGAACAGGGGGTCAGAGGGCCCAGGGCCCGACGCCTACACGCTCCACGTTTCAATGAGAGGGAATGGAAACACCCAAAGGGAGAGTTCCCCTCTTTCCAGTCGCAAGGCTGAGAAAACTCGACGGCAAGGAGGCGGGCGCGCAGGCAGCGACGAGGAAAGCGCTGTATCCTGCAAAAGGATGCAGGCGAGTAATCGAGCAGGCCGCCCGGCCCGAAGGTTGGAAGGCTGATTCCCGAGCAAGGCAGCGCCAGAGGGTAAACGGGGCCGGGTTAAGAGGTTTGACGGGGCCCCGCTCTGTTTGTCAGTCACGCTGTCCCGCTCATCCCCAAAGCCCTGTGTAATAAACCCGGAGTCGCCGCCTCGTTCATTCAGGCTCTGCGGCCCCAGTGTGTGTTGTAATTGTGCGGCCTGTTGACACGGCTCATAATGGCCCCTAAAGAGCCCGGCTTCTTCCAACCTGACAGCTCTCGATTGGACGGCTACCAGTAATGCTGACAGAATGACATACACAAACATACAGCGTAGGTTTGCTCTGGCCTGAACCAATGAGAGGGCTCAGGGCGACCGGCCCAGTGTGTGTTTGTGTGCGAGAGAGAGAGAGAGAGAGAGTCGTAGTGTGAGTTCTGACTGCATCCAAAATCTTCCGGGAGACTGTGGGAGGCGACCTTGCGTGCGGCTGGAGGGGCGGCTGGTGATCGGGCGAGCTGAGCGGGGACGGGACCCCGGGGCAGTGTGGCCTCGGGGGGGTCGCGTCTGTCTGGGCCACACAGCACGTGGACGCGGACACTCACTGGGGGGTGGGGTCCGGGGGAGGTCCCAGCGAACCTCCCCCCCCCTCCCCTCCTCTGCAACCTCCCCCCCAAAACAAAAGCTCCAGATGGTAGGAAAGCCACCAACCTCCCTCGTCCCTCACCCTTTGCTTCCCCTCCCTCAACCTTTGTCTGGAGGCCCGTCCCTTTTGTTTGCGGAAGAGAGACCCCCGAACGGATTAACTCTTTGCATTCCTGCCTCTTTTGTGTTAAAACAGCCAAATCTAAGACGCCGCCCTTAGCCCCGCCCCCGCCGTCCCTTCCTCAGCATCTCGCTGGGGTTTTTTTCGTCCCTCCTGCCCTCTGCTTCCTGCAGGACGGCTTCAGCGCGAGGCCGTGGCTTTAAGGGGGCCCGGAGGGGTGGTGTTGGTGGAGGAAGAGGGAGCCTGTCGGGTGGGGGTCACTCATCCACATCTGTTGTTGTGGTTGGAAGGATAAAGAAAAGGCTCAGCGAGGGCTGCAGGTGTTGATTGTGTCATTAGCTCCCTCTCTATTGGCTGCCGCTAGTTGTCTCCTCCTTATCCGCAAATCGATTGCTTTAACCAGTTTTCACTGGATGGCCACCGAATCCCCCCCCCCCCCCACACACACACACACACCCCTCTCCCCCCAACACACAAAACACACACACACACACATGAAAACCTTAGCACAACAACAGCATGTCGAGGGATGCTCTGTGTGATTGCCTCCAGCTTAAATTCTTGTCTGTGAGGGGCAGAGAAAGCAGTGAGAGTCCAGCCCCTAAATGTCTGGGCTGCTCTTTTTATATGAAAGGATTCAGAGATTCTCCTCTGAGATTCTCCAGAGCGTGTTTCTGCTGCTAAATCCAGGCTGAACTTGAGATAGTGTTCGTTGAGTCCAACGCAGGAGACGGACCGTCGGCCAGCTGTTAAAAACGGTAATACGGTCAATTCGGCTGATTCCAAAGGAGCAGCAGACTGTTTGTATTAATACTGTTATGGTTATGCGAGAAAGCAAAAGAATAATTAAAGCAAGCATGCCCACCAAGGCCAGCACACGTTCCACTTCCACTTATTATAATCCATTTTTCAGAACAGAAAATTGGATATATTTTTAAAAAGCAGATCGCCTCCCAATGGTTGTTGTTTTAAGAGACTCCAGGAGTAATAAGAGGAGGATGAAGGTTTGGTCACCTCCCCTTGTAATAACGGGCGCATTGGCACTTCTGGGCCGTCAGCATGTCCCCGTTTACTATGTCAGAGTATTCCTGCTTGACGCGGCACTCCGGTACGGTTGTTTTCCTGCTCGCCGAACGCATTGAAGACACCCGGAGAGCGTTGTGCCTCTACGACTCCGTCTCACCCCCCGTTAAGAGGAGCCCTTTCTGATAAGCCGCAGTCCGCTCGACTCGCCGGAACTTTCCTCTTTGGAGCCTGTTTTTTCGCCACGTCTACAGGATCGCGCGGCCCCGCTACCGGCGGCCCGGCGCGTCTGTCTCTCCGTGTCTTTGTTTACGCTGCTTATTATACTGGCTTTGTCACACCACAGTTAATTGCAAACAATTATCATGATGGCATTTCATTTTTAGTAATTGTCTTCTTCTGGACGCCTGGTCGCTAATCCCTTCCTCCTCTGTTCTGGATACTAAGTGTGTGTGTGTGTGTGTGTGTGTGTGTGTGTGGACGGTGCCGGCTCATATTTCTTTAGCCTTGTTTCTCATTTGAATGAATTAAAAAAAAAACAGTTTGCGTGACCCAAAGGTGCCATTCAAAGTAAGAGCGGTTTAAGTTGTCTCCTATACACAGTTGTGCGGCTCAAATACCATCGGTTGCTGCTCATAATAATAAAGAGCTTCCCGTGATGAGATGATTAGATTGAAATGATTAGATGGAACATTTGCTATTACAAAGGTGTGCAGAGTACACCGTTTCTCGCGGATGCTAATTAACTGCAATTCATACGTCCACGATCATTTCTAAAGATTTGCGTCTCCGAAAAAAGGAAGAGACAACAACGCTGGCATGAGGCGTTTTTTTCCCCCCCGGAAACGCGGGTGGGATTGTTGAATCCCAGCTAGCGATGCCTCCAGCCAGAATTCCCAGAACCAGAGTCACTCCGCCCGCTCATACGACGCCTTTCCCCCAGCGGACGAGGGGGCGAGACCCTGGTCGACCCCCTGAAAACGAGTCTCGTCCACCGGTGATGCTTTTTCCAGATTATGCAGAGCGACGGAGAGAGAAAGAGATTCAGGTCAGCTGCTCCGTTTCAGACCTCACGGGCCCCTGAGATGCTGCCGGCTTCCTTCCGGCGACAAACGGTAACCTACGCTCACTTTCCTTTCCCCCGGGAGGCGAGCGGATCCACTGTGGGCGACGGAGAAGCGGTAGATATGATAATGTACACCGGCTTCTGTTCCTCAACCCTCAAACGCTCCAGCAGCACTCTGCTGTCGTAGCTCGCGTGCGCACCTCTTCTTCGTGTTTTCAGGAACCGCCTGTAGCTCAAAGGACCAGGAGGAGGAGAAGTTGGGGTCGGGGGGTCGGGGGATGTTTTGTAATAACCGTGTTTAGGAGATGAAGGCACAGGCCGGCGTGCTCGGTGTAGAGTGACCACGTGTGACAGGGTGACAGCGACACGGCTCATCAGCTCACACTTTCTGCTCCATTTCGCAGTCCGTCAAAACCCGAGAGTCTGTGGCCGACGTCGGCACAAAGAACGCACGCAACAGTTTACTCGCACCCTCTTAAAATGACAGCGAGGCCGAGCTCAGCGCTTCTTTTTTTTTTTTATACGTGTACATGAAATCAATATGTTGGAGAAGAAGAAGTCCTCAATGTGCAGCGGCTTAGCAGGTACTTCATTTCAGCGCAGTAATTAAGGGCCCATTTGGAGAGGGACCCGGTGGCCCCTCGCTGCCCCGAAGGAGCGGGATTGGTCTAATTAACTAATGTGAAAACGGCTGATTTGGCAGTAAGTGACATAATCACAGCTCATTGGTCAATAACTCGCAGGTCGCCGGGGCGGATCGAGAGGAACGTTTGGTGACCCGTGCTTCCAGGATGAAAGCTCTCTGGAGGACCGGCGGTCAGTGTGGAGGCCAACGTCAATCCGACTAAAGGGTTTCTGTTCTCAGAGCTTTTTAATAGCAATTCATCTACGTCGTGTTGGTTTCACTCGTTCTCTGGCATTGCGTCTGCGACAGCTTGTCAAACAGAGCAGGCTATTTGAATATGTAAACTTTGGTTTTGGAAAATGGTGATGGGACACATTTGAGCAAACTAATAAAAATAATACAAAATGCAAAATAAGGATTCATCAATAGTGCTAAAGGTTGTAGCTGAGTTTAAGCTATTTTAGAATACGTGGACATTCATTTTGTTTACACAGAACACAAGAATAAACAGCTGTATTTTTCCTACCACACCAATTGTGCAAAGTACAAAGTACTTTTTGTTGTTGTTAGAACTGTCTTCTTCATCAAGAGTCTCTTTTATTTATTGTTTTTTTTGTTTTTTTTAATGCGTTTAAAATTTCCGAAACATTCTCGAGTTAATTTCTCGCTGAAACTTTGTGCTTGCATCATCGGTGTTTCTGAAAATGAAAAATACAGATATTCTGAATAATCCTGAACAAACGTTACTGACCTGAGTCTCACTTTACCTTTTGTCGGCCCCCAAATAGAGAATAATCTTGATTATTAAAGCAGGATTTTAGTCTCATTCCCGCCTTACTCCCTCTGTTGTACCTCCATCACTGCACTTTAACCACTTTCCCTCAGCACACTAACGTGTCTTCATGTCTCACATGTCCACTTCAGAAACACACAAAAAGCAACACAACGTGTCTCTGAATCTGCCTGACTCTCTCTCTCTCTCTCTCTCTCGCCCTGTGTGCACAGTGTATTCTGGGATCTGTACTGCGCCGCCCCGGACCGGAGGGAGACATGTGAACATTCCAGCGAGGCCAAGGCTTTCCATGACTATGTGAGTGAACCCAACCGACCCTCCGGTCGTGCGCGAGCAAGGGACCGCGGACCGCAGTTTGCGGCACATTTTACGCGCCCGTGCGTGCTCGCGGAAGCACGCATGGGCGCACGCGGGGGTGGGGGCGGCTGTGCATCTCAGAGACGGTGATGACGCTGCAGGTTCTTGTCTCGACGCGTCTGTCCCCCCCCTCCCCCCACCACCACCACCACCTTCCCCGTAGCTCAGCTGCTGGCGGCACCTCCTCACACGGCGACCCCTGACCCCTCAGGTCCGAAACGATCGGCCGGAGGTGAAAGGCGGCTGTTTATTGGTCGACCCAAGGCCTCAGCCAAGCAGCGAAAGCAGGTGGCTGGACGCACACATCCACAGTACGCGTACACACAGGGCACATTTGGAGGTGGGCAGGCGGCTCCGGTTGTGGCTGTGAGGGGGGGGCCGGGCAACGAAAGGTCAGGGTCTGTGGCCCTCTGGAGCCTCTCGTCTTCTGAAGGGTCGGTGCAGTCGATCAGTGACCTATTGAACGGGTAAAACGGGCAGTGGAGGGGGAGGCGGGAGGCGGGAGGCAGGGGGAGGTCGTTTATCGACTACAATTGAAAGTCTGGCTCGGCTCATATATTTGCAAATGACTGGTTTTGGTGCGATTGTGCCCCCCCCCTCCCCCCCTTCCTCCCTCCCCCTCCTCCCCTTGAGGACACTGACTCACCCTCATGTCAGTTTGGGTTTTAAAATAGATCTCAACACTCGGCGGTGAATGTTTTCCGTCTCCGCTTTGCTCGCCGCCTTGTTTGAATGAGGATTACGCGGCCGTTAGGATGTTGACCGGAGACTAGATGACGGCTCCACCTGGGCGGCGCTGAAGTGGATTAGAGGCGCTGCTCCCACCATTTCAATCAGGCCGCCTCCGCCCGCGGCCGCTCGCCCGTTGGGTTGAACTCTCTTATGAGGTTTGACAGCAAAAGTGTGAGCACTTGTCAGCCGAGCAGATTACATTTGTTGTGCGTGTAACGCGCACGCGCGTGTGTGGGCGCGCCGGTACTCCGCGTCCATGTGTGCATTTGTCGGACCACCATAAGATTAATTACATGGTTAATTAAACCTAGTAGTTAATTAAATCTGACAACTGTGTCTAATTAATCTAAATGCAATATAATTTGCTACACCTTTCTCCAGAGGTGGGCCAGCTGGATACCTGCACGTCAGCCCTTTTAGCGGCTCCAGTTTGACAGCTCTGGTCAATATATGGCGGAACATCGAGCTTCAGATCCTGCAGCCATAAAACAACCGATTCTCAGCCTTCGGCAGCGTAAATCAGTCAAGGTCTCTATTGCAGCCGCGGATCTGACGATCGGAGGACACAAAGACTTATATTTTGGATATTTTGTCGTAAATGAGGCCGCGTGTGAGGTTGTGATGTTTTTGACACGCAAACAAGCGCAGCTTTGTCGTAGTTCAAGGCAGCAGACAGTGTTGTTTGACCTTCGACCCGGCCGGAGGGTGTGAGCCGTCTGTCTGAGGCAAATCAGTTCACAATCTATTGAACTTTAGCTGTAAGACACGGCCGTTACATACAATTCCCATCTTTTTTTCTACGCCGTCATTCACCTATTTGCTCTCTTTGGAAATGTTAAAATAAAGTGAACCATCTCCAAACACTGTTTGGCTGCACAGCGTGAGTAACCAATTACTGACGCAAAGGGGGGGGGGGGCGCTGCTTTTCACTGATGCTATTTATCAATTAAGGAATATCACACTTTTTCCTCCTTTCGATTACAAACGCTGGAACTTTTTCAGATGTGTGTGGCCGACGCAGTAGAAACGACTGACTGTTGCCGCGTGTGTTCACGCGTGTGCGAGAGAGAGAGAGGCGGTGGGGGACGCGGGGGGGGTGTCCGGGTCGAGGCGCGTTGAATCCCCGCGGCGACGAGGGGGTCTGTCTGTCTCTGATATAACGGCGGCTCCTCGGCCCCCGCGGACCCACGGCCTGATCGAGTCTCTCTCGCGGCCCCTCGCTGATAACGGCTCCCTCGTTCCCCCCCGGATCACAGAGTGAAAAGCAACCGCGCTCCTCTGTGTGTGTGTGTGTGTGGTTTCTGGCGAACGTGTGCGAGATAAAGCGGGATTGGTTTTATTAATGTTTTATTTTGTCATAATTGACGGCCTCCGATGTGGCGACGGCAGCTTGTTGTGGAGAGAAAATGAGAAAACCTCAGCGCCGCTGTGCCATAAAAACGTAGCATGCAGTTTGCTTATTTGTTTCCTGGATCCAGTGCGGTTGCTAGGCACCATTACGCCCGTTTACAGTGTTAGTTACACATTCTTGCCTTGGCTCGGCTCGGCTCCACTTGGCCCGGTTTAGGAGGCGGCTCTCACTCAGCCCGGCACCACCATCGTGATCGATGATGTAGACTCGGTGAACTCTCCGTTTTGGGAAAGATAATGGTATATAATGTGCTAATCCCCAGATCGGGGGGGGGACCGGTTGACAGCTAATCCAGGGGAATGTGGTGGGATTGGAGTCCTGGCCGCACTCCCAGAACTCCGGGCCTCCGACTGGCTGGATCGCTGCTCGGCTTCACCCCTGGGTGGCGATTTCTGCTCTCGTAGCCACTCCAAACCGCCGTGTAAACACTCGCACGCACACACACACACACACGGGCGCATCGCATCCCCACACTTGCACGCGTAAACAACTAATATTCACACACTCAAAGTGAGCGAGATGATACGATATCACAAGGAGAGGGAACACTCTTGTACCTCTGTAAAGAATTTAAGTGGTCTCTGTTGTTGTCTTAATTGCTGTTTCTGTCCTTCCTCTCCACGTTGGCGTTTCATCATTTTTACTTCCACGCGTCTTACTGTCCTCCTCTCTCCGGGAATTTGGATGTTCCTCAAAAGAGCACTTTGTTGAGGAAACGTGTTTGATTATAACATGGCGCGTCTTTGGTAACGCAATATTAATGATTAAAGGGCGCCAGCTTTTGTGATGAAGAAAGAATACACACTGACGAGCGAGGAGGCACGCTTGTTCACACACACACACACACACACACACACCGATTCTTGTTCACATTAAAGCAGGCAGAAGAATGAGTGTCTGTTTTCTGTGTCGCCGCACACACATGCACTCACAGACAAACAGTCTTTCAGGACGCGATACACTCGGCCTTGTTGTTGCAGACTTTTTGCTTTGCCCCAGCCAGAGGTCGCGACCCCCAACATCTGCGGTTCATACCGATTCGAGGTTCCGCCGTCACAGACTTAGTGCCACGAGTGCGTCTCTGTCCCGGCGCAGAGCTTAACGAAAGAAGAGTCAAACGGGGGCATCTAGGCGTCTCCTTTTAGCCGTCAAGCAGTGGGGAATTTGGCTGATTCTAATAATTATTTTGTTGTTTAAATCACGTAACGGGCGAAAGATGCCGAAACATTTGCAGGTTCCAGCTTTGCAGTTTGTTTTATATTATTGTAAATTGACAATATCTTTATTTTAGACTTGTGCAGTCTCAACAAGAGCTGGGCGGCGAATAAATAGGAGAATTTTTCGTAGAGTGATGAAATTGTCAATCGAGATATTGTGATACAAAACTGAGAGCAATTTTTCAGACCAAAACCCAAATACATTTCAGTTTACTGTCATAAGACCTCCGAAAGAGATTAAGATGCTGACGAAACGTGTTTCTGCCCACTAAAAACTACTCAATGAGTAGAAAGAAAAAAAATCCAAATCTTCGGTTAATGGCGAATTGGCGAAACAGCGGATTGTTTCCGAGCAGCGGACGCCTTCGATCGTATCTGCCCCCCCGGCGGGCAGCGGGAGGCCGCGGTGCTCTGTGGGCCGTCGCCTGGGGGCCCTTCGAGAGGCTCAAACATTTGTCGGACCGCGGTGACAGGTGGCACGAGGAGGAGGAGCAGCCGTTGATGGGCGGGGCCTTTGTCTGGACGCCGCGTGCGATTGCGTGCATGCTTTCCCGTCGCCGCGTGCGTCGCCCGGCCAGGTGCTCGCTCGCCTCGCTTTGACGCCACGCGCTCGCCGGAGCTTTTCCTTTCCTTTCATTGCCGTCTTTGTCCAGCCGTCTTTTCTTTCTTTCAAAAGAGCGAATTTACTCATCCCTGCTTCACCACTAACGCCCGCCAAACTCCCCCCAACCACCAGCACTCCCCCGTCGCTCTTTCTTTCCTTTCCTCTCTATTTCATGCTCTCCGTCTGATCCTCCCCCTCTCTCCCTTTTTGCCTCCCCTCGCTCCGCTCCGCTCTCCTCTCGGGCCCCTCCCCCCCTCCCTCGGAGGAGATTGATTGGGTAATCTGGCTGGGTGCCAGCAGGCGCCTTGCCTTTCTCGCTCGGGGGAAGGAGAGAAGCGGGGGCGACATGACGACACGCAGGAATAATAATAACACCCCGTGATGTAGGCAGGTTGGGATGGAGGGAGAGGAGGAGGCAGCGGAGGAATGGAGTCAGTGTTGGCGCGGCGATGCCGTCTTTTATTCCCATTTAAATATAGCCCACACACACACACACAGAAGGTATGCCCACAACGTTGTGTCTCTTATCTGTCTGTCCCTCCGTCCTCCGTTTGCGTCCGCGTCGTCCTTTTTTAATATCAAACGGCGCGCGATGACGCTGCCCCTTTGTGTGCCGTTGTTTGCCGTGTAAATGAAAAAGGCCCGGCGGGCCTCCCGTGTCCGCGCACACCTTCGCCTATCTGAGGGAAGCAACAAAGCCCTAAAGCGCCGCCCTCAAGCTGTGCGTGCGCGTTTCGGCTGGAGGTCGGGGGGGGGGGGGAGTGACAGAAGCGGAAGATCAAATATCGCTGGTGGTTCCTCCACAGGTTCATTCCGGGGCGGTTTTTCATAAAACGCGCCGCGGTTTGATCTCGACAGCTCGCGGATCCGTGTTCGACAGAGACGGGACGCGGCGGAGACGGACAGATGGAGGCAACAAATCGGGAAAAAGATGAGCGACAGGGGGTGGAGGACACACGAGGTGGGAAGCAGGAGG